CGAGTTCACTTCTTCGATGCGTTGATCACACTTCTCCCTTGCGGCACGAAGACCCGTCGCGGCTTTCTCGTTGCAGATTTTTATTTTAGCCGCGTACGCTTCTTTGACGTCTCGAAGACGGTCCATCTTCCCTTTCGAGCACACCTGCAACGATTTTACCTCGTTCGCCGCGTGTCATTTAGCATGACGCGCGGCTTCGAGCCGGCCAGGAACGCTGGCTATATTATAAATTCCAAGTGGAATCCCATGGAAATGCGGTTTAATGCCACGGAAGGTGAGACGAAGCCGACGAGCGGCATGAAATTTTCGTGAATTCACCTTTCGCGAGGGGAAGAATGAATTTCACCGGGCGCAGCTGCGCTCCCTAAGTTCCACCGGTATCATCGTTACGTTAATAAGAGGGCAATTTGGCATATCGAGCAAAAAATTAGAATTTCTTTTTGTGGTAATTGATAGTCTCGAGAGTGTGTCGGCAGAGGCAGCTGATTCTTTTTTCCTTCTGTTAGACGAAAGAAAAATAATCTCAGACTCAAAGCGTAAAAAAAAATAGTAATAAAGGTAGATTAAAGTAACAAAAGTTTAATACCTTCGACAATCGCTCATTTCCAGTGATTAAATATTTTACACGCAATGGTTAATTATTAGATAAAATATACCCAAGGGAAGTAGGTCGAAGTGACAAAAATTTCACACCCTTGACATTTTTCTATAATTAAACATTTCAACTTTGTTTCAAAGTCAATGTTTCACGCGAAACATGTTAATTCTAAAATGTTTCTAATTTTCATCTAAAAAAGGAACGTTGAAAATGCGATGAAATTTGACGTAACACTTCTCCCAAAAGTTGATTCCCGAGAAATACGAAATTCTTGGCCGGAGTCACGAAACTACCCTCTCGAACGGATAGCTTTTACGATGATCGTTACAACGATACGTTACCTCGGAAGTAGTACGAACAGATTCCTCGACCCGTCGCATTTCGTCCATTATGAATTGCTCGTTTTTCTTCACCAGATCGCTAAGTTCCTTGCTGGTTTTCGAAAACATCTCCGCCAGTTCTTTCATTTTCCGATCGATATCCATTTTCGTTCGTTGAACGATGTAACCGAACGCCTCGGCGAATGCTTTCCTCAGATCCTCGGTGCTTTTCCACCGTCTCGAATTTACCTTCACCTTCGCCCCAAAGAAATTAGAATCCTTTCGCCCTTTTCTTCCCTACGTTTCATCTCTGCTACCTCCTCTCGTTTCACCAACCAGACGAATCGTTACGTAATCCCCCGTTTATTCTGGGTGTCGCGCAACCCCAGAGATACGAAATTCTATACTTTGCAATTCATACTCACCGTTGCGTGCACAGCGACATCGAGGCCGTGATTCGATCGAAGCAGCTGTTTAAACATTCTACGAGTAACATTTCTCTTCCCTCCTTCTCGATACCAACGTTACATAGCGAGATATTAGGTTAAATTTCCAGTTCGACGATCGTTCGATTAAATTCCGGAAATAGGGGTGAAAATAATGCTCCAGATTGAAATGCGAATAGCACTGTATCTCATATTTCGTTAAATATCCTAGAATTTGTTATATATACCGAAGAAAACATTGAACAGAGACGCGGAGAAATTTCATTAACAAAGAAAGAAATGTCGAATCGCCTTGAAACTCATTCACGAGGCGATCTACGCTTCTATCGATGGCCGGGGCTGCAACTTCAAGCGGCGGAATAATTCACGACAGCAAGGGACGTTCGCGCTATTTACCCGGCTCGACGTTCATCCGAAAAAGGAGCGCGACAGGCTGGAAGAATTATTTATTTCCCCTTTTGCATGACCGTCTCGGGAGTACAAAGCAGAAGTAAGAAGCGTAAACTTGACTCGAACTTCGGTGTGCTCCAGGGAAGTAGAGAAAGAAGAAGCATCTGTGAGTCGAGAGGACCGCTGAAGAATTCAGAAGACAATATATTAAAGTAGCCAGAACTTGACCGTAACCGAGTTACGAAAGGTTTCGCGAAGCTGGATTATATATCCGTGAAAGATTCCTCGCGAAGATGTAAAGCGGCAGGAGGAGCTGCGGAGGAAATTCAAGTTGCGGAGTGTGGGCATGAAGCGTGCTGTATTTCACAAAGGCTGAGAACAAGAGCTTCTCTTTATTATCAAGTTTAACACGGCGCACACGCTACGCCCTTGTAAAATACACTCTCCCCGTCTCGCGATATTTCACCGTTAAATACTCGCCGAGAACTCGTCCAACAGGATCGAGGGAAAAGGAGGAACAATAATACACCTGTTCGTCAGCACCTTCGTATTTAACCGTCAACGTGAAAACAGTTCCCGAAGAAGAAACGAAGAAGACCATGACAAAGTTTCCAGGCACCGTTGCGAGACTTTCTTCTCGGAAGAAAGTCCCCGACTCCCGGTGAAATTCCACCGGAGAAGTATCGAAACGGAGGGGAGAAGTTTCAGGTTCTGTGACGTTTAACTCATGTGTACGAGAAGCCGCGTAGATCGTTTCGGTGGTGAAACTCGAATTCCACGGTGCAAGCGGACAAGTTCTCGTTGAAATGGGAAACTGTTTCGATAAAGACCAGGAACACCGGATACCGCTCGGCGATCGAGTGGATCCTGCACCCTTGAAGAGCAGCGAATCGCTCATAATATTCGTGGTGGGTGGTCCCGGTGTTGGGAAGAGCACTTTGTGCAAGAAGCTGATGACGAAGTACGGTTTGATTCTTGTCTGGGTGTCGAATATACTGAGGGAGGAGGTCGCGACAGATTCGGAAAGAGGGCAGCTCTTCAAGGCGATCATGGAGAGGGGTGAGAACGTGCCTGCCGAGGTGATCGTTCAACTGGTGGTACGGAAGATGCTGCAGTATCCGCACGCGTACGGTTATCTGATCGTCGGTTTCCCCAGGGACAAGAAACAGGTGATCGTTAATGGATACGGCGTGTTTACCCGTACACTTTGGGGTGGAATACGCGCGGTCAAGGGTTCGGGATCATCTTGGAATATCGAGAAGCTGTTGATCGTTTTTATTTCGTAGGCTGTGTTGTTCAACACCGAGGTGAGATCGCCAAATCTGTTGTTGAATTTGTACGCGAGAAGGGTGATTCTTCAGGATAAAAAAATAATATGGCGAGGTTCGACGATACAGAGGAGGCTGTTTGCAATCGTGTGATTAAATACTATACTAACATCAAGGGTGCCATTGCACCGAATAAAAATGTGACCAAGGTGATCGACGCGGAGACAACCGTGGACGAAGTGTACAGAGAGGCGTGCAGGATCATCGACGAACTCGTGAAAAAGTCGAAGCGTTGATAATTACGACAAGGATCGTTCTGTAGTAGATAGTGAAGTTGTATAAATTGTAAATAAGTTAGAGTGTCGTATGGAGTATTTTTTGAAACGGAATAATCGTTTATATGAGGAAACACAGGAAGGAAGGGCTGGTGCGGCGTTGAGAGTATTTCAAAGCTGCACGATCCTTTCGATTAAAAAGATTTTCAATTTTTCCCGGAAGCGTGTGCGGAATAATCGACGTCCTGTCGTGTCCAGAACCTCGTCCTTTTCGAGTTCAGTATTTTCTGGCTCGCTCCTGACGGAGTCGCCGAGGCTAACCGGAAATTACCGCAGGTATCCCGCTGTTGAACGGGTTGAAACCGTATTTTCTACTATGTTACCCGCGCTATTAATGCGATTATGCGAACTGTTCCCTGGCAATATCTCCCTTTCCTTATTTCTATCGTATCTGCCTCTCTTGTTAACGTTCAACTTTCCGATAACTTGAGCTCGTGCTTTAACATTGCTCGAAGCGATACTTGGTCGCAATGGGATCATGGAACAGCTGACACTTAAAGGATGAAGCCAATGAACAAACTTTTCTTTCATATTACCGCAAACTTTTCGGTTTCCTTCGTAAAACTTCAGATATTTCTACTCTGACCCCTTGTTCGGCCGTTGCTTTAATTTTTCCGGTTACGTGGACGGAATAACCTCGGTTTGCTATTCCCATCGAGGGTGTCTGCCTTCTCCGATGCGTCCCGCTATAATTTTTAACCCGCGCCTTCTCGCCAGTAATCCAGGAAAACTGAAATTCTTCGAGAGAAAAAAAGGAAGCAGCGGAACTCTTGGTTGAAATTTGTCGAATTTCTGGGGAAAAGGAAAAAGTAGAAGGTATTGAAGATCGAATCGAACGAGGATGCACTTATACAGAGTAGAAACGGTGAACTTTGTTCTTTGCTTGAAAAAACCAAGCACGTAGGGTTTAGGTGCTCAAAACAGAAAATTTACGCGGTTCGTCGAACGCGTGGCGGTCTTTTCTTCGAAATAATTGAGAAACACACCGGTGGCACGTTTCGACGGTCACGTATGTACGGAGACTTTAACATCCGGATATTGCAGCCAGCCGTCCACTGTATCCGAGGCGGCAACAGAAATTCCATTTAAATCTTTCACTGGATTTCGCTAAAATATATCCCTCGAACTGTGTCCTTCTTCACGATTAATTATCGTGTATTCAAAAGTATTTCTACCTTTAACTTTAATTCACAAAAATACACGGTTGGTTTTACCGGTGGAAGAGAGAGTGAGAAAAGGAAGAAAAGAAAAATTGTTGGAATTTCAACGTTTGTTGAAAAATCGTTCGAAAATAACGAGAAAAAAGGGAATTTGTTGTGAAGAGTTTCGTTTCGTTACGCCACGTTTCACCGGAGTATCGCGGAGAACAATTAAAAGGAACAAAGATAAAGCATAGGCTACCATGGTAGCGCTCGTTCACCGATCGCCCCGCCCTAAATTTTCGATTAGCAAAGGACAAAGCAGTTTCGCCGGTACCATCACGAAAATTGTTCGATTTCGCCTGCTATTGAAATCCAGCGTGCTCGTTCCATTCGGAATGGCGGATGAGAGAATGAAACGAAGCGTTCCGTCGTGGTCTGGAAAACGAAATGTCCTCCTACCGCTTTCGCAGTTACGGAACAGTTTAATCGCGCGCTGATGTGGAAAAAGTAGATGACCATGTCCAAGATCCACTGCTCGAGAATTTCCCGGAACTTCGTCGAAGACCTTAGAAATAACCCAGTCACGATAAAACATTTTATCACTTGGCCAGAAATAAAACATACCCCGTGTGTCATCAAACATTTCGGAACCGTACGAACTTTTCCTTTAGAAATTAGCAAATTCAGGGTAAATTATATCAATTAAGACAAGCGGTCTTCCCAAACTTTCATTCGATCCTACATCTTCTGTGACAGATAAAAATTAAGAATGCTTCAAGAAAAAATTGAAAAGAGATTGTATCCATGGTTTCGAGATCAAGCTTCCGGCTTGTTCCTCGGAGACTCGCTCAAAAACCACATTATCGGTCAGTCGAAATCGAAATGAAATTTTCGACTGGATCGACGCGAAGGCAAAGAAGAAATTTCACTGGTACACCGTACAATAACGATAACTCCGTGACGCTACTTCGGCTATCGATTTCCTGCTGTTCTCTCCGTTTTTCCATCCCTTCTCGTCGTTCTCATCCCTCTCGCCTCTGGTGACGACGAACGGAACGACAACGAAGACCAAGAGCGAGGGCCAGCAGAAGCACACACACCACGATTTCTACTCTTGTCCGTTTCCACGGTATTGTGACTGTGCGATATCGGATGAACTTGTAAAACTTGCGCAATCAGCCGTGAGATTGCATGTGGTCCTCACCCTTTTGTCCCCACTCCCTGTTCACCCAGACCCTCGAACCCCCTGTTCCTCCCGTCTTTACAGGCCGTTGTTTTCTGTGACCGCGTCGGGTGTTTGGTGAACGGCAAACGGTGTAAGCTTCGACCGTGTTCCTGAGAACCGACCCCTCTTCTCGCGACTTGCGTTATATTCGGATGATGGTAATCGTAACAGCAATCCCGACCGAGGAGATTGCGCCAATTTTGGAAAATTTCGTCGATGTCGCGCCTCTGCTTCGGGGATCCCTAGCTTCTCCTTCTTCCCAGCTTTTTATCTGCGAGGACCAGCTATTGCTAAGATTTGCAATTTCGTCCGGGTGTATTGTGCAGGCATGGAGCGCGCGAATATAGGCCACGGGTATATCTTTGCGAACAGTAGGTCGGATTAAAAGGATTCCCTCCCGAATTCGATTACGTTTGTCGGAGGCGGTTGTATAGAGAAGATGAGTGTTGCTTCGAAAAGGACGTTTCTGGGGAATTTTTCGTGGTCGGAGATAGTTGTTTTTATCGGTTCCTCGCGATTGAAAGAAAAAAAAAAAGAGACACTTGGACGGGGTACCGCTGACGTTTCTTTTTTCGAAGGAAACCGCACGCAGAGCTTCTCCATCGAATATTTATGTTTGCCCGTTTTTTCGCGATCGGCCCGTTTCAAAAAGTCTGCCGCTCTCGGTTGTATTTGCATTCGTCGCAACTGTTTGTCGATGCGCGGGATGCGAGCAAAAAACCGCGGTTGAAAACGGCGAACGTCGGATAAGCGAAATGAGAGGTAGAAGAGAGGAGGAGAAAAGGCGAATCTCGTTAAACGAGACGCGGCGCGGCGACGCTCGTTTTAAACGCGAAAAGCCACGGCTCGGCGCGAGTAACGTATAGTAAAATGAGGAGGAAAGGCGAGGTTGCGAAGGAACACGGGGATAAAGCAAATTTTCCCTGCCTCTCCATAAATTCATGAAGAAATATGCGGGTGACCAGGAACGCTGCGGGGATTAAGTCTTGTCCTCCTTCGATTTCTGTCCGTTTCTTTTTCAAAAATATATGTTTCCGCTAAATCCTCTCTCTCTCTCCTCTTTCTATTTCGTTTCTTTAGAACTTCACTTTATTTTTTTCCCCGGTGCGAACGCTGCGGTTCGAACATTTTTCAAATTTCTTACAGGTTTCGCCGCTATCTTTCGAGGTTCTTGCCGGGCTGTGACATACTTTATCCTTCCGTTTTATCTTGTTCTTCTTTCGCCTCCTGCTTCCTTTCTCGCAGCTGCCTCCAATTGAAATCTCCTCAGTTGACGAGATAGAAAGAGTAGGGGAAATATAAAAAAGCTAAGCGCTGGGAATGAAAGGATGCTGGGATATATCTTTTGAATCTACAAACGGATGATTTTTCTCCCCTTTCAGTTTTACACGGCTTTCTACATTTTATTCCTCCCCTGCTGTCTGTGTAATTACTCCGAACATTTATAATCCTTTTCTCCGTGTTGCTAGCGTGCGTGTATACCGGACTTTCATCGCACTCCGGTACACTTCAGCCACACGTTTCCGAAGTATTTAGATCACTCTGAATGAAATACAACTGCATTCTATTTCACCGAGCACTACTCTCTTCTATTGCTTCGATGTAGAATTTACATTCGAACTGTTGCCACTGAACTCGTTAGAATTCAACGACGTACATCAGGGCAGCCCGCGAGCGGAGCCGAGAGCAACGCCCGAAGCGAATGACGTGGACAGTTGTGAAAGAAGTGGGAGAACAACGTTTTAGGCTCGTTAGGCGAAGACCATCGATAAATAGTTCTCCGCGCGATTTTCGAAGTTGGGATCAGCTAACCTGATAATACCTCATTTTTGAGGATGCTCTCGATGATACTCCCGTTCCTTTGAACGCTTCAGTGCTCCCGTTTCCCTGACCACTTCAAATGGAGCAACTTCGCGAGCTCGAATGTAGATTATTCTACATTTGCTGCACACGAACTGAACTATCCCGAATCGTGAGTACCACGTACAAGGGTTGTAGAATTGTAGATGCTAAATTCGACGACTTTGAGGTCATAGGGGTGCTGTACTATTCTGGGTCGTCGATGCTCAGTTGGAGGTTTGTGGGGTCATTGAACCCATTTTTAACGTAGAATTCGTTCATTCGACGATTACATTCCAAAATCTTTTCTCTTTTTTTCTCTGTTAGTTCTGTAAAATAAACGTCACTTCTATCGTTTCTGCTTTAGTCATTCTAACTTTAGTACATATTGCTCCCATTCGTCCTTTCCAGACAAAAATCGTTCTTCCTTTTTTTTTGCGGTTTCCTAAATCTGAAGTTGTTTCTGTCAGCTCTCATGGATTCTGGCTACTCTCCATCTGGTCCCACGAGTACCGCTGTGGTTCTCAACGAATTTCCCAGCGTCTTGTGTGTCCGCAATCATCTCTATCTTGTCGCGCGCGTTCACAGTTATCTCCCGTTCTTCTATCCCGCTCCTATCGAGTTCAACGTTACCCTCATCCCAGTCCCTCTTGCTTACCACTGATCTCAGCTGAAAGGCAGCAATGTGCGGTGTCTTCTCTATCAGCTTTCTCCTGCGTTTCGTCTTGCATGTATTCGATCCCATGGGTATAACG